ACTGAATTAAAGCTCAGATCTGTCTGATGCAGAAGCCAGAACAAACCGCTGTTCATTGCTAGAGTTAGCTGGGCCCTCTTGTGGCCTCTACTTCACCCCGAGCTGACCTAGAAGGATGCTGTTCAGCTGAGCGCCCCATCCATGCTGCCCTGGCCCCACCCCTAGCCTGCAGGAAACACATGGCCCTGAAATGATCAGTCTACTTGTCTGCCTCTCCCACAGGTCTGTGAGCACCTTGAGGACAGGGCAGGGACTTGCTCATCTCTGGGCCCCAAGCCAGGGTCAGGCACATAGCAGGTACTTAAAGAACATTTCGCAGGGAGCTCGATGCTTGAGCAGCTCTCCCTGAGACAGGGTCAGCTGTTTGGCTGTGGGCCCTCGCTCTCTCCCTGACAGCCCTGCAGGGACAGAAGAAATCTGCTGCTGCTGCTGTGTACTGGCTTATTGAGTCTTCCCACTAAAATGTCAGCTCTGTGAAGGCAGGACCTTGTCTGTCTCACTCACTTCTCAGGTCCTAGAACAAGGCTTGGCATAGAAGGGCCTCTGTAAGTGTTTGTTGACTGACTGTATGAAATATTTGCCAAATGAATGAGCCTGGATTCCTTCCTCCTTTTCTCTCCTCCTCCGATGGAGCATTCTGCCTGTAGCACCTGAAGAATATTCTGGAGACAGAGTCACCTTCCTCCCATATGTCCTAGGCACTCTTCAATCAGGCCCTAAGTGGTGCTGGGGGGTGGAAGTGAGCAAGTTCTGGGCAGCATTTTCAACCTACAGGTCACAGGAAAAATCAATGTAGTGCCCTGCAGGCTGCAGTAACAAAAAGAAATAGGATAGGATAGATGAGAAAGTATCACAATGCATCCAATGCAGGAAGGCTAAGCATTTTTTTTTGTGAATAACTCACATTCATGTATCTGTGTAGCTGGTCACAGTGTAAAATGTATTTCTTACTTTGGGTCTTGGTCAAAAAAGTTTGAACCTCGTGTGTGAATTTGGGAGGTGGGAGATGTGATCCTTAGACCCAGAGGAGGATAGAACCAATAAACGTTATAATAACCCTGGAGATGATGATGATGCCAATTACTGAACACGTATCCTGTGCCAGGCAGGGGTGCTCGGGTCCCAGTGCCTTGTGGGGAAGTGAGGAGGAAGGAGTCCGGGGTAGGCAGAGATCCTGTGGACGGGTGAGGGAGGAGTCCGAGGAAGACTGCCTGGAGGAGATGGAGCCTGAAGTTTCCAAAGCCCCTGGGCCCTGGCAGGCTCAGGGCTGGGTCACAGTGTGAGCTCTGGTGGCAATAATAATGACAGTAACAGCTGACATCAGTAAGCACTGACTGACTGAGTGCCAGGTACCCCTTTAATCCTCCAGACATTCCCAGGAAGAAAGAACTGCTCTTAGTGCCCTTGTACAAATGAGGAGATTTGGAGAAATGCAGTAATTTGAAGGGTAGGGGTCACGCAGTGATAAAGTTGCTGTGTCTAGATCCAAGCCTAGGTTTGCACTGCTCAAAAGCCATGTCTTTCTTTAAGTCTTGGCTTGCACACGGAAGGGGGGTGCCGGATCCAGGAGATGGGGCCGTGGGCCTGGAAGGGCACACAGCCAGGGCAGGCAGGGGTCCCATCTGTGTTGGGACTCAGGCAGCAGGGATGAGTTACCTGAGGCGTGTAGACACTGGGCTAAGGGTGCAACTGCATGTCCCAAGATACCCACCCTGGAGGGGCTCACGTAGTCCCTCTTCTTGGCAGTAATGTGGTCACAAGGAGCCAAGCCAGGCTGGCCCCTGCCCTGATGCTGTCCATTCCTTGGGCCCAGTGTCCCCCCCGCCTGTGGCGGGCTTGGCAGGGAGAAAAGCAGCAGGGTCTGTTTCCTGTCTTTTGTCAAGTCTCATCTTTGCTGGTTGGAACCCAGCTCCTCTGCCTTCCAGCGAGTCATTTGTGCCTGTGAGGAAATGATTCTTGGCTTGAGCATTCCCACGAGGGAATCTGGGGTTCTCACAGCTTATGTTTCTGCCCAGCAACTGAACTTGGGAGCTCTCTCCCAAGAGCACCAGCGCCTTGCTTGGGCTGAGGGGCTGTGGACGACCACAGGCGACTGTCCAGGAGCGTGAGTAATGGGGTTGCTCATTACTCTCTGCAGCGGCAGCTCGTCTGGTTTGGGACCGCGGTGGGTTGCTGTGTGTGTGCTATGCATACCCACACGTGCACACACGCTCACTCGCATATCCTCTCTCACCCTCACTAGACGCTTGCGCAAATGTGCATCCTGCAAACATGAGTTCACATACCAGCAACACAAGCACATATGTGTGCATGCAAATGTGTTCAACATAGCACACATTTGTACAGGGCCACCCACGGGTCCCTGACCTTCTTTAGATGATAAGGTGGTGTCTTGGGTGCTTGTGTGTGTGGGATGTGGGTGGTGGTAGTGCTGGTGGGGGCTACTGAGTGAGTAGGGGTCTGTCCTGAGTCCTCTCTTTTCTGAAGTCCTGTTCTGGGACCCATGAATCTTTTCTCGAGAGATTTTGGGCTTCTACTCTGAGCATCAGACTTCTCAAGGAGCTTCTGCTGTAGTTTGAGAGGCTCCAATTGGCTCAACTCATTCTTCCTTTCTGCTTGGGGCTCAGGAGAGAGCACAGGTGCCTTCTCTTGGGTGTACCCAGGACTGCGCTGTGTCCATCTGTCCTCCAGCACTCAGCCTCTGTCCCCAGGCACAGGGTGGGGCAAATCTGGTCCTGAAGGCTTTCTTGTGTTTGCAGGGACGCCCCAGCCCCATGGCCAGCAGACCGCCAGGGCTGCAGGACTTGCTGCTCTGAGCAGGGACTTGGCAGACCCTCTGGGGTGCTGGGCTGGAGAGATTAGTTTGGATGCAGTCTGTGGCCTGACCCTGAGACACCTCCAAACCCTCAGCCTTCTACTTCCGGAGCCTACCAGCTGAGCCCCCAGCCTGGCTGTTGGAGCCATAAGGGTGGTGATTGCTGGCTCTCCTGAGGACACCCCTGCTCTGGGCTTTTCTGCTTGGTTCAACAGGAACACCTACTGTGTACATGGTGAATATAAATTAACGAACGAAGATGTGCCAGGCTCTGTGCAGGGGACCAAAAGACAGGTCAGACTTGGCTTTTGTTCTCTAGGATCTCAGTTTAGAGAGGCACATGGCCATGGACCCCAGCATCAGCTGGACAGTGAGGGTGAGGGGTAAGCAGCATGTATGTGTGTATGTATGTGTGTATATAAGAGTGTGTGTGTGCATGCCCCTACCTTAGTCCTGGCCTCGAGGAGAGCTTTTTCCTGGTGTGCATTCTCAGGATGGCAGGGCTGCTGCTGGGGAATCTGACAGGGGGTGGGCTGGGATATGGGGTTGTGGCTAGAGGAGGAAGGAAAGGACTGTGCCCGAGGATGGAGCCCTACAGTGTGCCACACACTGCGCCTGGGCATCACTTGCCCTGCTCATGGGCTCCTCGCACACCTCTTTGAAGGGGAATAGGGCCATCTGATGGATGCGGAACTTGAGGATCAGAGAACTTACATCACTTTTCCCGGATCACACAGCCAGTGAACTGGGAGCCAATTTTAGCCTACCTCTGCTGGACTCTGAAGGTCAGGGCTGCTTCTCAAGGCCACACTCCTGGACTTCCTCTGCTGCTCTCCTCCTCACACCCCTTGGGTGGGGCAGGAGCAGGCCTGGAGCTGAGGGCAAGTCTTCCCTGAGCCTCAGTTTCCTCATGCAGGAAAATAGGGATCATTTTACTCATAAAATCATCCAGGTGAAGCCCTAGAGACCTAGGAGCTAGGGACCTGGTAAGAGCACCACAAATGAGTCATTTCTCTTGTCTTTAGTTCTCTGAGCGGCCACGGGGACTGCGCGCCCCTCTCCCAGCCGGGTGCCCTCCTCCAGCCTGACTTTGGGCAGAGCTGGGGCCTGCGCTGTCTTCATCCCGAGGCATCCCGGCTGGGCCCTGACTAGGGGTGAGACAGGTAGGGACAGGTGAGGAAGGATTTCCCGAGCGTGGAGCGGAGAGAGGGAGGAAGTGACTCACCAAACACAGCAAAGCCCGTCTCCCTGGGAGGAAGCCTCAGCGAGAGAGTGAGCGCACGTGGGGGCCCGAGGGGCGTGCGGGTGGGCACGGCTGGTGCCGCCCAGGGCTAGCCCCGCGGCGCGGGAGGCAGGGGCAGGCCCTCTGGTGCGGGTCACGGCCTGGCGCCATGGAGTGGGGGCGGAGGGACCTCCCCACTTCCAAAGTTCCTGCTCTGCGGGTCCCGCTCCGCCTGTGGGGGCTGACAGGCGCGTTTCCCTGGGATATTGGCGGACAGTCTGCGCTTCGAGGCCTCGCCCTTCGACACCTGGGAGGCTGAAGCCCCGAGAGTGCGATCGCCTCGCTCGGGCGCACAGCAAGGCGAGGCGGGTCCCGGAGCCCGGATACTCGTCTCGGTCCCGCTGAGGCTCGGCCAGGCTGTAAAAGCTGAGGGGCGAGGGAAGCCCGCCGGTCTCCCGGGCAGCTGGGGAAGGGAGGGGGTGTGGCGCCGGGAGCATTTGCTGCGTTCCCCAGCCGGCGCGGCGCGGGCCTGGATGTCGGGTTTGGGTGTCTTCCAGCAGGGACCAAGCTAACGACAAGGGAAGAGGAACTGGCTTCCCGAGCAGTCTCCCCCGCCCCAAACTTTTCCTCCTTGCGGAGGGTGGGCTGGGGAGGGAGGAAGCGGGGCCGGGGAAGGTGGGGCCCGCCGTTCGCCGCCCGCCCGGGAGGGGCTGCTCCGACGCCGTCGGGACGCGGCCGGGGTGAGTGTGTCTTTAAATCCGAGCCCCCCGCCCCTCTGCGCGGGGGCCAGGGCTCCCGCGGGCCGGGCGGTGGCGGGCGCGGTGATTGGCGGCCCGGCCAGGTCCGCCCCTCGGCGCGGGGGACGCGGGGCGCGAGGAGCGAGCGCTCCCTCTCCGGTGGCCTCGCCTCGTCTCCCCGGCCTGCCCACCTCCGCAGCCGCGTCTGCCCACGGATGGGCTGGGGAAGTTGGGAGGAGCGAGCCGGAGCCCGCGCCGGGCGCGCCCCGCCGCTGCCCGCCTCGGCGCCCGCAGTCCGGGCGCAGCGCGCCAGCCGCCGGAGCACGAATGCCCCCCGGAGCCGCGGGCTGGCAGGTACCGACGCGTTCGGGCCCGGGGCTGGCGAGGGGAGGGCAGCTCCAGGAGTCTTCTTGCACCCCGGGCTGCGGCTGCTCGGGCTACCCACGCCCCTTCGCCGGCAGAGGAGAGGTCCTGGGCCCCTAGCCCGCACCCGCTCAGAGTTGCTGCCTGGGAGGCAAGCGGAGCTCACTAACCAAACAGCCAGCGGTTACTGGGCCGTGTCGGGCTCTGGGCCACTCGCTCTCTCGAGGTTTCCTTCGGACTGGGTTAGGCATGGACTGGCGACACCTCTACTTTTCATTGCTAGGCCTGGGGGCACGGCCCAGGAGCTAGGCTTCCCGCGAAGTTGTCGGGGGGAGGGAAGCTTTCTCATGATCAGAGATGGGGTCCCCAGACTCATCTCTAGGGGGCTGGAGGCCCACAGACAGGGGAAGAGTCCGTAGGTCCCAGTGGACACAGGCTTTGATTCTTGGCCCTGTCTGGCCCTCTTCCTCTGTAGGCCTGGGTCTCCGAGGAGAGTCCATTTTTTAATTTCAGAGGGTTTTCCTGAAGCGACCTGTCAGAAAGAGTGTGGTGTACGGGAGAGCAGCTACACCTGGCTTCTTAAGGTGACCAGGATGGTGGGAGCCTGTTCCTGTCTCTTGGGCAGTCAGAGATGGAAAAAAGCTTCATGGTCTCAGGAAGCTTCTGGACAGCTCTGCTCTCCCAACCAGAGGTCCAGGCACCAACTCTTTGGCTTCTGGGCAGAGCAGCCTGAACCCAGTGACCGAGCACCTCCTTAGGTGCCAGGCACTGGGCTATGCCCAGGCAGGGCGTGGATGGTGGGAGTATCTGGAGGATTCTGTCCTCACATGGCTCAGCCCCTCAGAGGAAGACAGAACATAAACACGCACAAGATTTGCTGATACAGGGTTTTGATACCAATCCTAGACTGCTGATAATGTAAATGCCAACAAGCTGCACACAATTGCTACGTGAGAAATGCAGGCTGCGAGAGCACTGGGGGAGCTGGGACTCAGTCTCATGCAACAGTGCGAATGTGTTTAAATGTTGGCAACTCCCTACCTACCCTTCCTTATTACCCTGCCAGTACTCTGGACCTCTTACCACTTCCAAGGGCAACGAGCAGCAGGGGGCTGAGTAGTTCTCCTGCCTATATGTGGCCCCTGCCCCAACTCCCAGGTTTTTGTTTTTTTCTCTGCTGGTGGGTTTCTTGGGTTAGGCTGAGTGCAGGACTCTCCTAGCTGCCCTGTGGCTCCTGAGGTTTGGGGTCTAGAGCCAGACTTGTAGGAGGTTCAGAGGCAAGTGGGAGGAAGTCCTCACTTCCTTTCTGAAGAGCCTCCATTGCTGGGGTAGGGGGCAGGCTGGGAGGCAGCGGGCCAGACAGTTTCCTGTGAGTGCAGACAGACCTGAGGTGGTGGTGTGTACTCTCTGCCCTTCTCTCCTTGGGGTTGTGGGTAGGCAGGGTAGGGTCTGAGTGCCTTGAGATGGGTGGTGCCTGGGGCAGCTCTGATCTCACCTCTGTGAGGTTCTGTACCTGGGCCTCTGCCCCTCCCCCATTGTTCCTGGCAGGTTTCTGTTTTTCTGAAACACTTCTCGGAGGTGGCTCACCCCATGGCCTTGGGTGCAGTTCTGAGAGTGGGAATTGCCGAGCTCATCCCGAAGCCCTTGGCCTGCACTGTGACAACTCAGGTGAACACACCTACCCGTCTCCAAACAGGTGGCACACACAGACCCGGGTCACCCAGGCACAGGTAGGGGATGCCTTTGTGGGCAGAGATATGTGTGCACGCTCAGGTTTGCAGCTGTGTGGGCAGAGACATAGAGGAACTGGATACATACATACACACCTGAGAGCAGGCACAGGAAGACAAGAGGTGAAGAAGCAACCCAGGGACACAGACATGTGGGGAAAGACATACATGAACACATCGATGTGGACCACATGTGAGCTGCAGACATGTATTGTAGACAGATTTACACAGTCACTGGGATTCGAATCGGGAGGCAGACATGTAAGTGGACAGACACGTAGGTGTCGCCACCAGAGCACAGACATGGATGTGACACGCACAGATGTAAGAAAGCCTCAGAGAAATGGCTCCAGTACCTGGGCAGACGTGGAGTTGGCTGTGAGCTCCCAGGGACACAGACACGTGTGCCTGCCAGAGTCACCTGACAGTGGAGGCCAGGACCCAGACAGAGGTGGGCACTGAGATGTAGTGTGCGGTGTGCGTTGCTCAGTTATCACCATTTCCCTGTGTGGTAGCAGTGCCCCGAAGTTGTCCTGTTTGGGGGCTCTGGGGGTGGTACAGGTGCTATGTGGTGTGCCTTATTTCTAGACACCTACTTTGGGGTTTGAGAATCCCAAAGGGCTCAGTGTCCTCTAACTCCCTAAGTTACAGGGCTGGGTTCGTGCCTTAAGTGCCAGCAGGAGCTCCTCGAACCTTTCATTCTCATCTTCCCTGAAGTGAGGCCGTGTGGCCCGGGGTGGAGCAACCAGGATAGGGGAGGAACCTGGCTGTGGGATCTTCCTTCTGAACCCAAGCCTATGGGTCTTCGTCAGGGATGGGACGGTCCCTGGGGGACAGAGAGCACACATGCAGTTGGGTCTGTGATAGGAGCCATTGCCCTCAGGGGTGCAGTCCTCCCCCCAAGCCCTGGGCTTGCACCGGGAAGGGGTCCCCCACCTTCCGGCTATGTTATCTCCTCTGCCCAACCTGGCAACTGGGATCCAGCCCAGATTCTACATATAGTGTGACACTAACTCACTGTGTGACCTTTGGCAAGTTACTTAACTGACTTCGTTTCCTCACCTTTAAAGTAGGGCCAGTAACCCCCAGGCCCCGGGGATGTTGTGCGGGTTAAGCGGGAAAACATCAGTGGAAAGCATGTGGCCCAGTGCCTGGCGCAGAGTGAGCGCTCAGTCAACATGGGGGTGGGGGCTTCCATTACGATCCTTCCCCCGTGGCCAGGACTCTCCAGAGCTTCCCCAGCAGCAAGGCCCCTGGCCCTGGAGCCAGGGTAGAGGCCTGGAGAGGGCTGGGCGGGCCAGGCACTTCTCACAAGAAAGCTGGAGGGCTTTGTCCTCACTTGCTGCCCACTAGCCCCTCCACACACAGGGTCAGGAAATGGCAGGCAGGGCGTATGGAAGCTTGGGCCTGCTGGGCCTCTGGGAGGGGAGCCAGTGGTTTGCTAAGAATAGCCCCAAATCATGGCTCTTGCCTTCCAGTGGGCAGCCCAGCCGTGTGCCTCCCCTGCTTCGGGCCACGGCGCTTGCAGACAGGCTTTTATGTTTCCTGTAACTGTTCCTGTAACTGGCGCTAAGCACAGGATGGGCCTGGGAGCAGCAGGCTCGGTCTGGGAGGAGGCTCTGCTCCCTTGCTAGGCCTTTGGCTGGGACCTGGGGAAAGAGAAGGTCTGGAAGCACTGGTCTCTGTAATCTCTGAGTTCCTCTTCCACTTAGGGCTTGTCCCGACATGCTCCCCTGACCACCTTCCCACCCCAAGTAGACTTGTCCTGAGGCTCTGGGAGGAGACCACCAGGGTCTGAATTCCTGTTTCCTCCCTTACTGGCTGTGTGGCCTTGGGCAACAAACTTAACCTCTCTGTGCCTCAATTCCTTTGTGTAACAGGGCTAATGATAGTAACTCCCCTATGAGCCTGTCCCTGGGATGAAAGGAGGTACACATGGAAAGCCCTTGGGTACTGTCTGGCTCCTGGGACGTGCTTGGTAAACATTAGGTGCCGATGTTACTACCATGATTGGTGATATTCTCTCAGCAAAGGCCAGGAAGTTTGCACAGTCACATGATGGGAAGGAACCAGATGGTATCTTGATTTGGGTTCCTGGACTTCCTTGGCCCTGGGTTCAGTATGAGGTGCCGGGGATCCAAAGGCAAAGTAGATGCAGTCCTTGCCAGGAGGTGAGCGAGGCACATACAGACTTTAGGCTATACCCCACTGATGACGTGATGGGGGTCTGTGCTAGCTATGGTTGGAGCTGGGAGTGTGTGTGACACTTCGTGTGGGCTTTGAAGGATGGCTAGGAGCTTGCAAAGGGGCGGGGGGGAAGGCTTCCTTAGCACAAAGAGCAGCACGGCAGAGGTGTGACAGCTCTTGGAAGGTGTTTTATATATTTCCCGTAAACTGGCGTGTGGACTGGTTTAGCTCTGAGGGGACCCCTGCCAGGGGCGCAGCTGGGACACTGATGAGGTGGCTAGGGTCACCTGCATGCCCATGGTAGGCAGTAGGGAACATCTGGGGCTTTGGGAACTAGGTGTGTCCCAGGGAGCTGAGGCTTTCAGATGTTCCTGAGGAGGGAGGGTGTGGTGCTGCTGGGAGGGCTGTGGGTGACCCTGACAAACTGCCAAGAGGCTGGATCAGGGGCCAATCAGGGTGTGGGGTGCCCCTGGGTGACCTGGGCTGTGCCAGCTTCTGCATCCTGCTAAGCTCAGGCCTTCCTCTCTGCAGGCTGTGCTGGCCTCTGTCTTGGCTTCTCAGAGTAGAGGACAGGGATGCTAGGGTGTATTTGAAGATTTTGTTTAGAAGCACAGAGGGGAACTTCTCCTCCCCTTTTCCTTCTCCTGGCTCTGGAGAACCTCATGGGACAGTTAACCCCTTTCCTGCTGATCACAAAGTGGCCAATGGGCACGTCTCCCTCCCCTTGTTATTCTTTGGGATCGCTGTTTCATTGTTGCCTTTTCTGTTACACGGAATGTGCACATTAGGTGTTGAAAGGTATAGTGCATTCTACCACTGAGTACGCTTTCTGTAACCGGGCAGGCAAAGAAATCACAGTGAATATCAGCATCTGGCAGTATTTTTTGGAAAAAAGGGACTAAAATGGGTTTAAATTGATTAACACTATTAAAACACATCTAATATTTGATGCTATATGATTCAGTACAACTATATGATACAGTTATACAAAACATGTTAACATCAAAGCATACAACCAAAATTAAGATGGCAAACAAAACTTATATCTTTTTTTTATAGGAAAATACCTCGGAA